CAGGTGCCGTCATCCGCTCTATACCGTTATCCGATTCCAACTATGCCGTTGCATGGAAATCATTAAATGATCGATTCGATAATCAGCGTTTAATAATGAATGCGCATTTGGATAGGTTGTTTGAGTTTCCACCGTTAAAATCATCGTCTTTGCACGAATTAAAGAAATTTCTCGATACTTTCCAAGAAAATATCGCGGCCTTGGAAAACTTTAAAATTCCAAATAAGGAAGGTTACTTGTTTTTCTATATTGCTGCACGTGTATTAGATTCAAATACTAAATGTTTATTCGAATCTCAACATAACAACGATACATTGCCAGTTATTAATGATTTATTAAAGTACGTTCAAAATCGTTGTCAAATTCTTCAGAATAGTTTCACTGCCTCAACACCAATAGCTTCCATCAAACTGAAACCAGCATTTTCACCAAGTAAGAAAGTTCAAGCACTTACGAAAACATCTCTTGTCACCAATTCGTCTGAATCAAATAAAGCATGCCCTCTTTGCAGTTCTTCTCATCATCTTTATAAGTGTGAACAATTTTTACAACTGTCTCCATCAAAACGTTTAAAAAAGGTTCAATCAAATCATATGTGTACAAACTGTTTAAGTGCTAACCACACATCCATTAAATGTATGTCTAAATTTACTTGTCGTCATTGTTCCGCCCGACATCATTCATTATTGCATCTAGGCGAAAACGAGCAAAATTCATTGTCGTCAGACACTCATTCGATACCGAAAACCAAACCAAATCCTTCAACTTCGTCCACAGAACAGTCCTCAACTCCGTTTGTCGGAACGGTCAACACTACCAACTTGAATGTATTAGGCACGGCCCTGATTCGTGTACGTGACAAATTTGGACAATGGACTACTGTTCGGGCACTTATTGATTCTGGCTCTCAGATCTCGGCTATTACGCATATGAGTGCTACTAAGCTCGGTCTTAACAGACGTCATACCGATGTTTCTGTTGTGGGATTGTCTCAAACCCCTATTATACAAACAAAGGGTTCATTACTTTGCCACATTATTCCTCATACAGCGGCTTCCCCTGAGTTGATATGCGAGCCTCTCATATTATCGAAAATCACTGGTCTTATGCCTTCAGCAGTCCTGAGTCCTTCAATACGATCAACTTATTCGGATCTACAATTTGCCGATCCGTCGTTCGATTACCCGGGTCACATTGATTTTCTTATCGGCGCGGACATGTATAATAAAATATTTGAAAATGGTTATCGTGTCCTCCACAGAGACGGCCTTCCTTCAGCCTTTGAGACCTCACTTGGTTGGATCTTTGTGGGAACTTCCAGTCAATGTCATTCTCAATCCAGCGTGTGCTTAAAGTTATCCTCGGAACCGTCGCTAAAGGAGTTGTTACATCGTTTTTGGGCCTGTGAAGAGCCAGAAGTTCAGTCTGTACCATTTACCGAACAAGAAAAGTGTGAGGACATTTTTCACCGGTCTACTGTTCGAGATAGTACAGGTCGTTACATTGTCTCTTTGCCATTTAAAAAGGACCCATCAATTCTTGGTGATTCTCGAGGTATGGCTCTATCACGATTTTTTAATTTAGAGCGAAAATTACAAGCCGAACCTGAATTATACGCTGAATATCGGCGGTTTATGAGTGAGTACCAATCACTTGGACACATGAAAGTTGCAGCCACACCAGGAAAATACGTGATTCCTCATCATGCTGTTGTAAAATATTCAAAGGACAAACTTAAATTACGAGTTGTTTTCGACGCTTCGGCTCGTACTACTTCGGGTGTCTCGTTGAACGACACTCTATTTGTCGGTCCAAAGTTACAGTGCGACATATCGAATATCCTACTTCGTTGTCGTCTGAATAAATACATGTTTACGGCCGATATATGTAAAATGTTTCGCCAAATCAACATCCACCCGTCACATTACGACTATCAGCACATATTATGGCGAGACGATCCTTCAAAACCATTGGTAGAATATGCCTTGACGACTGTTACATATGGAGTCGCCTCATCGCCTTATCAAGCCTTGCGTGTGCTGCACCAACTAGAAAGGGATGAGGGACACAAGTTTAAAAGAGCCTTAGGCGTTCTCACTACAGAAACCTATGTAGATGATATTATAACAGGAGCAGAAACAATTCCTGACACGCTAACCCTTCAACGTCAGGTCACTGAATTGTTGGATGCAGGTGGTCTAGAGCTCAAGAAATGGGCAAGCAACTGTCCAGCGGTCCTTCAGGATGTTCCTGCAGAAAACCGAGTTATGGAATCCTCCTTTGATCCGAAAGATCATTGTTCAGTCAAAATACTTGGTTTACATTGGGACCCGGTGTTAGATATATTGAGTTACCATAGCGAGTCCCCTACTTCTGCCATAACGAAACGTTCAGTGTTATCTACGATAGCCAAAATCTACGACCCACTTGGAATTCTGTCCCCTATCACATTTTGGGCGAAATGCTTTATGCAGGTATTATGGAAGAATGATTACCATTGGGACCAGCCCATTTCTACCGAAATGGCTTCGTCTTGGAAGACATTTTCTTCTGAACTTCCATGTGTTTCTTCGGTCAGTGTTCAACGGTACATTCCCACTGAACAGTCTTCGAATATATCACTCTTAGGGTTTTCCGATGCGTCCCTTAGTGGATACGCTGCAGTTGTATATATTCGATTGGAGTACAACTCTATGCCTCCGACCGTACATCTTATCACCGCTAGATCCAAAGTTGCGCCCTTGAAGTCAGGACGAGTGGTTGAACCATTATCAGTTCCGAGGTTGGAACTTTGTGGTGCACTACTACTTGCGCAAACATTGCATCGAATACAAACAACACTCGCTTCAAAGATCAACATCCAAGAAGTACATGCATGGACAGACTCCACTGTCGTGCTATCATGGTTAACTTCTCAACAAATTGAATTTAAGATCTTCGTGACAAATCGTTTGAAAAGGATATTCGAATTATTACCGAACTGCCATTGGCATTATATTCCTACCCACCAAAATCCAGCGGATTGCGCTTCAAGAGGCATGTACCCTAAAGAAATGCTGTCTCATAGTTTGTACTGGAATGGGCCCGACTTGTTGAAACAGTCAATCAACCATTGGACTACCACAAGATTCAATGTTGTGCCAAATGACCTATTGCCGGAACGAAAACTTGTTTCAGAGACAGTTCATCTTGTCACTCTGCCATATAGCGATACTAGTTGGCTCGAACGCTTTTCAAATTTTACACGCCTCCAACGAGTCCTCGTTTACATCCGCCGCTTTATTGCTCGTGGCCGCCAACTGCCTGCTTATTCAGGTTATATTCGTCAGTCAGAATTAGAGGACGCATTGAAGGTACTTGTCAAAATCACTCAATCACAGAATTTTTATTCTTTTATATTAAGTCTTTCTTCATATAAAACTACGGCTATTCCGGCGTCACTAGCACGCCTATCTCCGTTTATAGATTCTGACGGAATCATTCGGGTAGGAGGTCGCCTAAGACATGCCAATGCCAACGAGAATCTTAAGCATCCTATCTTACTACCAAAATCTTGTGTGCTTACAACTTTGCTTGTTCACCATTTCCACATAAATTATCTTCATGCCGGGCCTCAACTGGTTTCCTCGCTCATAAGAGCGCGTTTTTGGATCATTTCGAGTCGCTCCGTCATAAGACATATAATCTTTAAGTGTGTACCATGTGCAACATATAGAGCATCTATCCCATCACCAGTCATGGGTGATCTCCCTAAGTCACGAGTCCAGTCAATACGACCATTCAGCAATGTAGGCATCGATTGTGCTGGCCCTTTTGCCATAAAAGAAGGAAAACGTCGAAATGCTCGCGCAAGTAGATGCTATTTAGCAATCTTTGTGTGTATGGCAGTGAAGGCTGTCCATGTAGAAGTTGTCTCGGACCTATCCACTCCTGCGTTCATTGCCGCGCTACACAGGT